CAGCCGCTTGATCATCAGTAACAACAAAAGCTGGTCCTGATGGTGCAGTAGTTCTGAAAGCAAAAAAAAACTTGCAAAACACAACCGAGATCGAAAAAGACAGCTAGAACTCACTTCGACTCGGGGGCTGTGCCATTGGTATTATTTGCTGGATCACGTGGCGGCGATGGCTGAGGTGGAGCAACTGCATTTTCTGAATCTGTTTAGATTCCGAATTATCAACGCTTGTAGAAGACAACAGCAATAAAAAGCGGGAAGATTCACCCTGCACGCGCACTCGTTCCGGTTCTTGCGCAACAACTTCACTTCCTTCGCGTGAATCTCTCGATCGTCTTGGTCCCGCTCCCACGGGGCATGGCGACTGCCGTTGCAATTGATCCTAAAAACAATTTACGTCTCCTTGCATGTTGTAGATGCACAGAATACTTACCTCTTCACTTGGAATTGTTGGTACAAGATCTGGCTGGTTAACTAAATCGTGCTCGCTTTTTATAAATGTCTGATTCTCCCATGTCCTCCTCTGCGGACGACCCGTATGACCCTGCATCTGATGCGGGTTATTTGAAAGCAACCTCTACAGCTTTTTAAGATGTGGCCAAACATTAGGGTAAAACAAAGATAAAAAAGTACAGGAAATAACCATGGAAAGCAATACCTTCTGATACGTCATGCCCCAATTTGTCAAATTACGATTGATCTCTAATGGTGGATCAATACGGCTCGATGATGCCTGAAACTATATAATTCATAAGCAAAAGTTTGTAATGAGTCTTTACGTCAGCAACAAGTCACTCAGAGTTAGAAAATTCACGCATACAAAAGGCGCTTAAAATAAACTGTGCATGACGTAATCGAAGGAGTAGCTTATTTATCAATGAAAAGCAAAGTTAGTTTGCCAATGTGCCTGCTTCAAATATTGCTTTAGGGCAATTCACATTATATCCTATCTCACTTCTATCACAACGTATTACCTTGAATTTGATTGCTAAACGGAACACATAGGTGAATACTGGAAGGTAAACCTTTGAACAGCCGTTCTTGAGAAGAATCCGTAAGAATCTTTCCTGTTTTCCCTCTTCACAACAATAACAATAACGCAATGAGCAGAGTATTTGTATCGCTCTCGAAACTTATTACTAATAAGGCATCTGCTGCAGGCAAAGGAGCCTGTTACACCATCAAAAATAGACCTACATCTTGGTTATGCAGCCGGAAAGTGGAGGCTCCCTCATGAGATTCATAATCTAGTGGAGGTTGATTTTCAAGTTGAGGTGTCCCTTGATATGGCGCATACTGTTGCTGCTGATAGAGCTGCTGCTGTTGTTGCGCAGTCATCATTCCTGGTGTTGAGATCAGCTGTGTAGGCTGCGGCGGTTGTTGAAGGGCATAAGATGAGGAATTGTGTTGATCTAGTGACGGCGGCATAGCTTGCACGGACGAATAAGCAGATGCAGGAGGACCCATCATAGAAATACCGACCGTTGACGGTTGATGAAGTGAGAAGCCAGTGGCGGCATGGGCTGACTGATGCATCTGCTCGGTGAAAGAAAATAAAGAATATAATAACAGAGACTACTGTCAAGATCGCTCACCATAGGATAACCTAGCTGCTGCGACTGCTGCTGCATATAGGAGCCTGGATGAGATGAGTATGGATCTTGGGTGTATCCAGGTGGAGGCTGCATCTGCGGCTGAATCAGGCCCGTTGGATACTCACCATACGATGGTGCTTGTCCAGGGAGATAGTTCAGCATCCCGTTAGATAGACTCGCTCGCAGCTGATATTCATATGATTTGAGAATGGCTTACAAATCCAAAGCGCATAAAAATATAGTACTCCACTAGCTTTGTATCTATCTTATTCGTTTAAAAAAGAATCACAGAGAATGCAAATTCAGATTCAAGTAAAAATCAAATGTAATATCAACTGTAATGAAAGAATATGTAGTGAAGAAAGCTACCTGCTGAGGTTGTGCATAATGTCCTTGGGGCTGTGCGTAATTATAAAGGTCCTGCTGTTGCGAGTACGGTTGTGCATAATTCGGAACAGTCTGCGCGTTAACATTATGTGGAAGGGTACCGTACCCTGCTCTTGCTGAAGCAGGAGCCATTTGTGGAGCATCTGGAAGCACAATTATAAGAGCGTAAAATGTTAAAAGTTACAAATACTACCTTGGTAGACACTGGGTTGTGAGAGAGCACGACTCATACGTTGTTGTTCGGGGCCCAAGTTCATAAACGACACTTGCTGAGCCAAATCAGTCAACTTGCGATCCAACTCGCGAATCATTTTTGAATTAGGTGACTCAGTTGATTCAGTGGGCATAGTGTTCTTCAATAACAAAAGGAAATGGTGACGTCACCATAATAATTTCAAAGGAGAACTCACAGACGCGTCAAATCTGCTCATGACCGCAAAGAACGCAGCTTTTCCTTTTTCCATACGCTCTGACTCAGTCATTGTGCTAAATTTCCCACCTAAGTACGAATGAAGGACTGATGGTGGCAAGCAATTACCTAATCAGAGCCTTTCTCTTCTCATGATCTCGTCGCTTCTCCTCTAACGCGAGCCTTATGGAAGCTGTGGGTAACGAATCGCTTCTGGCATATGGTGAGCACCCAGTTGCCGACTGATTACCGTTGTTGCCTCCAACAGGCTAAAAAAAAGATATAACGCTAGCATACATGACGCTGAAGAGAGATAGAGTGCAAATGAAAACAGCCCGCTCAATTTTGATTCTTCCATCATCTCATTCAATTTTTTTCTGAAACAGCTCATTCAATAAGTTTATAGCACGATACAGTCGAAAACAATTGACATTAGTGAAGCAAAAGCTGAAATCAACACTACAATAAAGAAGAATCAAACACAATGACGCTCTTGCTACAAAAAATTCAAGTTATCACTGAAACTCAAGAAC